CAGAGCAACGACAGCAGCTGTTTGACCTTATTGCAGAAGATGGATCGGAAGCACACCTCGAGCCAGCGAGTGCGTCGGTCAAGTGTGCACCCCATAACACAAAAAGTGTGATAACTGGGAAAAAGAGTGCGGCATTTTCAGGCAAATGACAGCATAAAAGTATCATTTAGTTGAGAAGTACATATGCGTCTCCTGTTCCTCCTTTGTTCACACGAAGCTCTGTGACTTTTGCTAACACAATTAATAGACTGGTCGACTTTGTTTAAATGTTTTTTATTTAATGATGTCAGATTTCACCCACATACAAAGATTACAATCCGAACAAGCCCAGAACTCTGGATAAATGTTGACGGTTTATATCAGCTCTAAATAATATGGAAAACAACTCCATATATACACAAGGACATAAACAGTTTCAGCATTCTATGTACAAGTAAGCGTCACACATTTAGTTTCCGATTATATTTTCCCCTGGTCTTGCTAAAAGCAACAAATCATTACTCATTACTAAAATATTATGCTTTAAACAAACATTCTGCAGACTCTGATGCATGTAGTAGAAGTTCATCAGCTGGAAGAATAAAATTGTTTGGCATATTTGTTTAACACACAATATTCAGCTGCCCCTGTTGGTTCTTGATAAACCTCACATAAGTTGGTTCTCGTATAGTGAAATAAATGTTATAGATCCCGCTTTCCCTCCAAGAAACTCCTTTCCTAAAAGCACAGCATGGACTCGGTCTTTGATAATCAAAACAATTAATTGCGAAGAAATGGCACAGCAACATTCCGATTCATACAAATCCACACGATATATCTTTTACACTTGACTAGATTCAATAAAAAGTAAAGAGTGCCACAAAAAACACGTATAATGCAATTGTCTTCTAAATCCTGTACTCTTCAATAGCTAATAAAAACTGGTGTCCTTCTCAATTGATGACACAAATCTGAATAAGAACATTGGGACTGTTCGACAAAATGTCCTTCAGGGAAAGCTTAGGAACACTCACTCAAACTTTACAGACATGAGCGAACACCGAGCTTCAAAGTTGGCACGATCTCTCAAGACACATCAATTAAAACTTGCCCTAACTTTGCCAACGAAAATGTGGTGCTCAAGCATTGTTCTAAAAGTATCTACACTAAACAATACCAATTCAAAC